GTTTTTATAATTCCTGCCAGAACATTTCAGGTAGCATGGGGTCAGTATGTGCCAATGACTTCATTGTCCAGGAGCCCTCTTCTCCACAGCAACAAATCCCACATTTTCCTGGACCTCTGTTCAGTCTTTTGATTTAAATGTCCTATGGGGACCAAAGTAAGAGGACATCTGAGGATAGGTAGGGTTGCACCTCACACTTCTCTCCCTTAATCAATGAACATTTTGTAAACATCTATTACACTACAAAACATGAATCAAATGGCTAATAATTTATGAAGGTTGGATTTCCATTTGCCTCTCCACGGTGATCCTCAACGAATAAACAGATGGCCACATCAAAAATATAGAAATAGAGTGTAGCGGTACTGAAACTCAAGGCTGTTTTGGACTTACTAGTTTAGCTTGTTGATTGTCCTTATTACTCCATCTTTTTTAAAAGGATTTTCATTAGTGTTAGCATGAACAGTGCAGATTTTTGCCCAACAGAGGATTAACATTATCTGTATGGCTGTATTATCCAACTTTAATGACGCTTTTTTCATTAGCTCACTGTTGAACACTAGAAACTGAAATTATTCACATTCTAGTTCAAACATCCCCACCTTGGTGCCTTTCAGATGTGGAACCCCATAAGGACCTGGGAAGAAGTGATCACTGATAGAATATTTGTAGCTCAATGTTGAACTATGGGTCTTAGCACTCTCTGAGCTTAGCGGTTTCCTTGCAGATGTTTCATTACCAAACTAGGTAACATCTGAAATTATCTAGTTGGGTAATGAAATGTCTGCAAGAGAGCACTAAGGGACCCAAAGAAGTATATGGCACACAAAAGGTTCCAGGTTCAATTCTGTCTTCTGCAGGTATGAGTTATAAGACCCCAGTTTGAACATCTAGAGAGCCACTGCCAGAATGTTAAACAATAAAAGAAAAGAATGGACAACTTTGGGCTGGCCATGAGTCAAAAGACATTTTTGGGGATTGAGGACCCTAATGGGCATCACAACAGTGCAACAAGGGTGGTTTCTCTTGGTACAAGCCAAGAACTTCAAGGGCTGCTCATTTTGCGAGTTGTAGACTCACAAAGGCAGAAAAATCAACTGAGAGGAAGAAGTTCTGGAACTAGAGCAACTTTACCCTAATTTACCTTACCAAGTGGTATGGTAAGGTAAGTTAGGCTACAGTTGCTCTAGTTCCCAAACTTCTTCCTCTCAGTTGATTTTTCTGCCTTTGTGAGTTTTATTGCCCATTTGGCAAAGAGGTGTTCCTACCCTCCCTTCCCTATAACTGCCTGTCTTCCTCCCGGTTTCAGACAAGTTGATTCATTATTAGGCAAAAGGTTTGGAAACCCTTGATAAAATAGCCAGTTAATGTCACATGCCTCTCTGTGGCAGCTGCCAGATAACATTTCTAAAACTCAGGCAGTACCAAAGAAAGACTGATGAACCACAGGAATGCTACTCATTCTGGAAATAAATTTATACTCCAAGCCACCAAGACAGAAAAATAGCAGGAGGTTGGCTTTCAGTGGTCTGGCCTGGCTGGAAGGGGAGAAGACCCGATTTATGGGAACGTGGCTCACACAACATCCTGAGTCTTAAATCCAAGCTTAGAAAACCCACTTGCTGTGTTCACACGCTGTATTTAAACATAAGATGACGGCTTGGATCATATACTTGGCTAATAACTGGGCTTCCCACAAATCCTGTACCACAATCCATTTTAGCCTAATGTGTTGTATGAACCTAGCCAATGTTTAAGAACTGGTTCTGCGGACTCCATTGCTCCTGCTATGCCATGGAACAGCTGATCAGCACACTAAGTGCTCGGCTCTGTTCTCAAGCAGCTCACACAATTCCTAAAAATTCAGTGATCAATACAAGCTAGGTCTAGCACACCACTGAACCCAGCCACCCAAAAATGATGTTTGTAGGTGAGGTTGCATTGCCTTTCCCTCTGAGGAAGGGTAAAACATTGCAGTGGACAGGAAAGTAGACAGGAAAGCTTGGGTAGAATTTATTAAACACCTGCGTGGAACAAAGTAAGCAGGTGGAGGGGGAAATCCATTTCCTCTCTGGTGTACTACAAATTTTCAGAGGAAACAGAAAACATTTCTTCATATAAACCTGAATTAACTCATAACATTTAACTGTCACAAGAATAGTGATAATCACTTTCAAGATGATTTTCATAGGAGACTAAGAGAAGTTTGTGCAGGATTCATTTGATGATGGAACACTATCTTCCAGTATTGGGACTGTTGGTTTTCTCCATCAGTGTGCTTCCTAGATTCTTGCTGCAGCTCAGATCTTACAATCAGATAGAAAGACACACATAGTGTATTTCTTTACTTTTTTCTTCAGAGCATGTGAAAATGCAAACTTCCAGGTAAACAAAAATACTATAGTGTTACTTTGATTTCAGATTTACTACACAGTATATACTCCAATATAATCAAATAAATAAACATATCTGAAAGTATAGATAATTACATAAGTCTGGACTTGAGGATCCAACGATGTTTAAATGGAGACACTGAGCTTGGATTCAGTTACAGATCATATGAAGAAACAACAATAAAAATGGAAAATTCCCCTGAACTTGTGTAATGGATTTTCCCTCATCATGCAGTATCTAGCATATTTTTTTCCAGTGATGCATTAGAGTGAAGGGCTTTTCTTACAGGTTTGGGTCCTGCCATTTTTACCTTGCAGAAATTGAGCGCAGCTGAGTCTAAAAGGTGTTTACCCTTAAAATTAACTTGTACCTTCCAAATTTAGGGCAAAAGGAGACTTGGTCCTTAGGGATCTGGCACATAGTCCCAAAGAACAGACTGTAAGCCAGTTGATTTCAAGCTAATGATTGTTGGGGGAAGTAAGAGGAAATTGCCAAGAGAGGACTGGAAAGAACATTGGTGTTTCAAGTCTAGACAAATACCCAATGTTATTAGAAGGGATAATTAAATCCATCCCAAAGTGCAAAATGAGACAAGCTTTGGTAGCTGGCTCCTTCATCCTTAAATACTTCCTTTGGTTTATTATTTTATTCCCCTCTGTTTTTTTACATAGCCTTTGAAGTTCAAACATTATTCTTGTTTTCTGGCCAGTTCTGCTCTTTTCTCTTAAGCCAATGTTTTTAGCTAGTTGTTTTTTTTTTAAACTGAGCTTAAACATGGCTTTAAATATAAATATCATTTGTGTCAAAGTAGCATGCAGGCTAGTGATAAAACTCGTCTTCTTCTCTGTAGCCAATAGAGGTAGCACAACTCTTTGTAATATGAATAGAAACTGCTGTTTCCACATACTGCTGATGACTTCACTAATCGATAGAAATAGTTTCTTCCAATAATTTCTCTCAATTCCATTTTGAAGAAACTTCAGTGAAGTTACCTCTTTTATCCCCTTAATTCGCATCTTGATCCAAGTCTTCACTCTGCTATTGACATTGGCGCTCTCTGTCTCTACAGAAAAGTGGTCAGACAGGTAGTCCTTGAAGTACAACCATTCATTTAGTGACTGCTCAAAGTTACAATGTCACTGAAGAAAGTGATTTACAACCAGTTCTTATACTTATGACTGTCACAGCTCCCCCCCCCCCCAGACACATGATCAAAATTGGCAACTGGCATGTATCTTTGATGGTTGCAGCGTCCCAGAGTTATATGATCCCCATTTGCCACTTTTCCAACCATCTTCCAACAAGCAAAATGAGCGGGAGGGAAATGGATTTGCTTAATGTCCACATGATACACTTAACTGCAATGATTTGCTTAACAACTGTGGCAAAAAAGATAGTAAAATAGGGCATGATTCACTTAATAATCACCTTCTTTAACAATGGAAATCCTGGTCCCAGTTGTGGTTGTTAGTCGAGGACTACCTATCCATCCTTAAAATTTCTGAATGCCGTTTTGTCTATGGTAGGAGCTTGGGCTAAAACACTTTGCTCTTGATGGGTCTAGGACAACTTGCCACAGGACAACTCACCATGGAGCAAGAGTTACACTAATATCATTGAAATGGTGGGACAGAAACATTAAAGAAAGGAAGCCAAAGGAGGGACAAATGAAATGTAATTGACAAAAATTAAAATATTTTAAAAATTATTTTAAATAATGTTATTGAATTATTGAATTGTCCTGCAGCAAGTTGTCCCGTGGTGAGTTGGCCATGGCAAGATGTCCCACGGTGAGTTGACCGCGGCAAGTTGGCTGTAGCAAATTGGCCCATCCAAAACAGAAAGACTCTTGCACTGAGTTCCAGAGATTGCTTCTGATTCCCTTGGCAGCACTTCCCCATCCATTCCTATTTGTATCAGGCCAAACACACCTAAATTTCTCTCTAGTCCATAATTTTATTTCCCATGGGAGTGGAGCCCCTATAGAGAATGCTTACCATTGAGCATAAGAACAGATGAAAAAGCACACAAACCCTGTCCACTTATTATCTTTTATTTTTAGTAAAGCAGCTCTATTATTTAAACAAATTCAAAGAGTTAGAGGTTGTCTGGGATCCCCAAATGTATCTATGGACTGTGAACAGAAGTAATGAAGTTATTTCCCATTCTAAGTGGCTAAATGTACTCTGTGCAGATTGTACCTACAGCACTGGTATTGCAAAGCCTGTTTTCTACAAAATTATTTTCTAATTTGACTAATTACAGTAGTCAAAAAACACGTCTAACTATCAGGACCACATGTCAGGTTCTTAGATAGTTAAGGATAAACCTCCTTCATGGCATTTTTCAGTCTTTTAAATAGTTAATCACCACAGTATTAAAACAAGCTTTTAAAATGTTTCTAAGTTTCAAAATAATTTCTCCTTACATGTTATATGTATATGCGTCATATATCATATGGCATGTATTGAGGCAAGAATGAAACACACAGCTCTGAAAAGTTTTTATGGCTCTGCTTATAGTTTGTTTCTGATTTTTGGGGAATTTCTTTCTTGTTGGTTTTGTTTCTCAAACTCACCCGTGTTTCCTTCTTTTATGGTTTGCAGGGTGTGTATGGAACAACAGAGAACAGCCCAGCCACTTTCATGGGCTTCCCTCAAGACACCTTTGCACAGAAAACAGAGACCGTAGGATATATTTTACCACACACAGAGGTGATTGATCCTTTTGCCACAAGTTCTGGTATCACCCTTTACAGTTTCCACTTGGATCCCATCCAAGGCTATACTGTACATCAGGGGAGCATGGCTGGCTGGGGAATTCTGGGAGTTGAAGTTCACAGATCTTAAAGTTACCAAGATTGGATACCCCTGATATATACCTTGTCTTTTTAATCATCTCAGTTATTCTCCCTTCTCCGATCATCTCATTATAAAACTGCTTTTCTCTGCATTGCAGGCAAAAATTGAGGATCCTAATACAGGGCAAATCGTCCCATTAAACAGCGCAGGAGAACTTCAGATTCGGGGCTACTGTGTCATGCTGGGGTATTGGGCAGACACCAACAAAACCAAGGAAGTGTTGAATGATGAGCAGTGGTACAAGACTGGGTAGGTCCACAGGAACTACTGGTTCATTAGGGAGGTCAGGTGATTCTGATAATGTGATCCACAGAGATCCATCAAATTGTTTACCATGGACTGCCCACATTCACTAGTCAAAACATACTCACTATCTCATCCCTACTACAAATAGGAAATAAATACTTAATTTGTTGGTTAGTTATTTAGTTAAGAAAAGCCTTTTTAGGTAGAAGAAATGGGAATGCATTCACAAAACTATAATCATTATTTTATTTACTAAGAAATGGGAGCACTCACTGCCTCCCATCTGTGTGAGAATTTGCAATGTAATAAATATTTGCAGTATAACAAATTGAAAATACAAAACTTCTATGTAGAAAATCCAGATTTAGGATGGAATAACAATAATCTCATTCCAGGGACATTGCTATCCTCGATGAGTATGGCTACTGCAAGATTGTAGGTCGCTGCAAAGACATGATCATTCGAGGAGGGGAGAACATATATCCAGCAGAGCTTGAACAATTTCTACACACGCATCCTAAAATTCAAGAAGTACAGGTGAGAGGGACAGTGAGAAAAGCCATCAAACTTGGCTTCTTGTTTAGATATATAATATCTAAAATTACATCCTGTAATAGACACCATATACATATATATATATATGTACAGTATGTCCTTCAGAGAAACAATAGGGCCAGATAAGCCTCAAGAAAAGAAACCTAATCAATAGTCCTCTGAAACTCAATGTCTCCCTCCATCTATTCAGGTAGTTGGTGTAAAAGATGAGCGATTTGGAGAAGAGATCTGTGCTTCCATCAGAGTGAAAGCTGGAGAGGAATGCACGGCAGACGAAATCAAGGCATTTTGCAAAGGAAAGGTAAGGACCACCAGGTGGATGGAACTGAACTGTCTCCCTCCTCTATTCCTTCCCTTTGCAACTAAGAGAGAGAGAGAGAGAGAGAAATCACATCTTTGATGGAATCAATAGTTAAGGTAGGAACCCTAATTCAGTGGAAAAACAGGTGTTCTGTACCTAGTCTGGTCCCCAGTATCTCCTCTGAGGTTTTGAAAATGCTTGATGGAAAGCAGCTGCTAATCAACTTCAGTAATAGTAGCAAGAGGGCTTGAGCAGCTCTGAAAGGGAAGAAATGACAAAAGATGCTTGTGTTCTTAGAAGCATGAGAGCATGAGACTAGCCTTCTGGGATCAAATCTGGGTCCATCTAACAGCATTTGTCTCACATGATGCCTTACCAGATACATCTAAGAAGACCACAAATAGGATATCAAAATAACTGCCCTCTCCTATCGTTGCTCAATCATTGACCCTGTGCCTGGAAATGTTACAATTAACTCATTGATAGACTCTCTCCTAGGAATTTATCTAGTCTCCTTTTATCCACCTAATTAGAGCCAATCCATCACGTAGCAACTTGTTCCAAAAGTTGATAAAATACTGCAAAACAGAAACATTCATTCTTACTAGTTTTACTAGTGGCCTCTATGGGAGAGAGGAAAGAAGTCTTCTTGTTTGCTGTTTCCTTACCATGTTTAATTTTATAAACCTGAATTATATTTCTTCTCTTTAGTTAAGAAGTTCCTACAATTGCCTTTTTAAAAAAAGTTTTATTAATTTTTAAGAATTACAATCTATAGAGCTTAGTAAACAACATGTTGTCTGGGTTCACATATTTAACATTAACTTCTTCAATATAAGTCCATTCAGTACTGCACAATCCAATATTTTTTCACTGATCCTCCTTTCTTCCCCATATTTTTTCCATTTTCCTCTCATTACACAGGTACAATTCTTGGTACTATTGACGTATACAGAGTTAGATATAAACATCTTCATCATATTTTTACTAATATTATACAAATAACAATAATATCAATTCATTAATCAATATCCTGTTTTTCGTGCTCTTGTTAAGGTTTAATTTCCCATCAATATTTAAAGTATCTTTGTCAGTTATGATTTTCTCAATGTTAGATACATTTATATAGCTAAAAGTTTTATTCATACCAATCCTCTTATTTTCATATTTCTCATATCAAAAGAAGAGAAAAAAATGCTATTTTAATTCTAAATTGTATCTTTCATTATAAAGGTCTAAATATGTCTAAGAGTCATCCATTCTTTTAACCATATTCAAATAAGTACTTAAACATAGGTTGCCCCTCTAATAGATCAAATCTTCTATTTTTTAAATCTAACTCTCGCTTTCTTTCTTTGCCAAGGGGCTTTCCAAGCCAAGGCAATTAAATCGCCCAGGAATTTTCTTGCTATTTTTATGAAAGTTGCTTGGCATGAGGAAGACAGTTTAGGTAGGGTATTTTTGAGGGGGAGTTTCGCCCATTTATGTTCCTTAACTCCCACCTTCCTTCTCCCTCAATTTCTCCCCTCATCTTTTGTCTCCCAAATTGTAACATTTCCCCTGACAGCTCTATGTTCCATTCCCCAAAATCTTCTTCTTGTCATCAGGTGCATCTTGCAAGCTTAAAGGGTAAAGGGTCTTTTGCAATTTCATTGTTAGGGATAGATCTTGCAGTATTTTATTTGTGTATGGTAGTTTATATTTCCCTTCTTTCATCTCTTCCATCTCTAGGTCCATTTCCTCTGCTTCATCTTCCAGTCTCTGGTTTATTTGTTCATGCTTTGTAGTTGTTGTCTGGGAACTTCCTAGTTGTAGATTTAATTTGGAGATTTGCTCATTTATATTATCTAAATTATTTTAGACTCATTGCAGTTTCTTTTTATGTCCTTCTTGTATGCAACAATTGTTTGGTGAATTAGTTGTAGCGTAGAGTATATTTCCTTCTGAAAGGTATTTGTTTTTTCTTGAGGCATCATTCCTGAAGATCCTCTAATATCCTAGTAAGAGTAAAACAAAGTTTCTCCTAGCTTTCTGGTCTTTATATGCAACCTTTACATATAAGATTTTAGAATACAGGTCCAGCCCCAAAAGCAATATTTTATAGTAATCCTTTGTCTCAGGCATCCAAAAATTGTCAGTCAGACAAGGTTATAATCTACAATGTTCAAAGTGTTCAACCTCCCCAAAAACAGCTCAAAAGTCTCTCCCAGCCAGATGTAATGAAAGGTCAAGTTTTTCTTTCTCTCCCACTAGCTCTTGAGATTAAAAGTTCAAGCTCAGTGAGTGTTATAGTCCAACAAGGTGATAAGTATGCCAAAACATTTTTTTTTATTGCCAGCTGTTCTCTCTTAGGTTAGGAATCACCAAGCAGGCAGGAAACTAGTTATAGTGCTGTACTGAAATCCACCACTAGATGTCATTCAAAATCCATTTTCCACTCTTTAAAAAAGGATTAATTTCTTATGTTTCACCTCAATGTTTTTTTTTCAAAAAAAAATCTTAACAATTATCAGTTCTCAGATTTCAAAACTGTAGCTTTATATTACTTCCACTTCAATATTATATATTTCTGTCCCCCATAGAAATTAAAATGCCGCTTCCGTTCACATTCAGAGGTTTTTAGCTTCTTGGGAGCCTTTTCTAGGAAATTCAGTTGTAAAATAGTAAAGAAAGGATCAATATTCTCACCCAGTTCCAAACATGCTGTTTACAATGTGTTAATTGGTGCTTTTCTTCTTCAGTTGTCAGCAGCTAATGGCTGGCCATAGGAATGTAGCCAGTCTTTCCCCTGCCAGTTTGGAGGGCTTTTCTCCGATCGAACGGAAAGACTGCCATCTCTCCGTGATCAATGAGACAACTCTCCTTCTTCATCACCTCATCGGGACAACTTTAGGCCCTTTTTAAGGCCCCCACAAATCAGGCACAGAAGGCAGATCCCTGCCTTCCTGCATCTGTCTCGCCATGATGCAAAACCGGAAGTCCACAATTGTCTATTTGTAGGGTTGGTGTCCAAGCACTCTAATCACTTTGGTTGCTCTTTGTTGCACCTTTTCTAACTTCATGATATCCATCTTGAAATGTGATAGCTAAATAAACATCTTCATAGACTAAAAACCAACTCTACATGTTTCTCCTTCACTGAGGAGTCTTTCTGTAGAGTTTTTGAAAATGCAGTCAGAAATGGCAGTGCAAAAGATCTTCCACCTCATATTCTCCTTTATGTTGCGTGTTCTTGATTTCCAGAATAAGGTAGTACAATCCCAACTGATCTCTCATACACACATTGAGCAGTTGTCGTTCAGTCAATCCAAGCACAAACTCATGTTCAAGCATCAGTCGCTATTCCAACATGATTTGGTTTAGGATTTATTTCAGAAATATCTGAGTAAGCAACTCCCCCCCCCAACTGGTCCTAGATCAGGGACCATGACAAGTTTCTCATGAGCACCTCTCTGGGAGGAGAAATGGATGTTCAACAAACAGCAAAACTTAATTCAAGTTGCCACCAAGACTTGCTTATGGCATTGGGGCTCTGTAAGATGTGTGAAAGAGTGTAGGCTATAGCAAGAATATTGGTAAGAACCTGAGCTTTCACTGAAGTTTTAAGAAACCCACCTCTTAGTCACATAAAATAACAGGCAAGCCAAAACAACTTCTGACATTCTGAGCTTTTTTTAAAACTCACAGATTGCTCATTTCAAGATTCCTCGATACGTAGTATTTGTGAAGGATTACCCACTCACTGTCTCAGGCAAGGTGAGTAAAATTGCCTCTGTTTTGGTGTACAGCACTCGGCTGAGTACAGTAATACATATCCCTATCAGCATATTTAATTCTAAAATTTGATGCAAGGCAACAATAGAGGAAGGTGAGGAAACTTCAAGTAGTGATCCAAGGGTAAATAGGCTTAATTTCAGAGATTAAAGTAAGCTACAGTATGAAGGATTAGAAATCCATGAAAATGTAGGCTTGAAGAGTGATTGGAAAGAAACATAAGAGATGATGACTTGTGCTTTGGAAGAGGCAGTTTGAAGCACATTGAGCTACAAGAGGGAAAAAAAGGGGGAATAGTCTGTGATGGAGATTGAAGAACAATAAAGTTTATAGGCAAATATAAAAGGATAAAGGGAAGAAGGCTCTAAAGAATTTTGAAGTAAAAACTGGACCAGTAGAGGTCAAGAAACCATTATAGGAATTTAAAGATAGGAGTCCTCTGACCAGAGTGACAAATATGATGATTTCAGTGTCAGAATATTGGGTTATTGTGATGGCTACCAAGATCAGAAATGGGAAATATGTGGAGGCCTGGGGATGGGGGACACATTTGTGCTCAAAGAACAAAAGAAGAGCTCTGTAGTATTTAGGTATAAAACAGGAAGAAACACTAACTCTTTTTTGCCATCTGCTGGTGAACTCTGTAATTTAGATCTGGTAGTTCTAATGAAATCATAGCTCTGTGCAGCAGTGTGGCTGATATAGTTATCAAGCTGGCACTGTCATGAGGTTCAGAGAGACTGTCCCCTCCAGGGATGGGTTAGAAAGTATGTTGAAACAGAGCTGTTCTGCCCCAGACAGAATAGACTACTTTAATCCCATCTGAAACAGACAGATAACTCAGCAGAATAAGCAAAGAATATCACTTTTATTTCTAGGAATCCTAAACAATAACTCACTGTTATGTAGAGATACATCCAGAAACATATTTAGCATTGTAGCTCATTCCACAGGTAATTTGATAATGGATTTTCCCCTCTTCTTCTGCATAAGACTCACATGTTGGCATAGGACTTCCAAGCCATGTGGCTAGGAGCCATGGGGCTGGATGAAACAAAGGCATTCCAAACTGGCACATAGCCAGTATGTCCTGAAAAGAGCCCAGAGGCTCCTCCTACTACTGACCTGTTAACATGAGATAACTAACTAGCTAAAACTACATTACCCATAAGCCATCTCTTAAGGAGACAGCACTTAATCCAATAAATACCAAACATGATCTAGAACACTCCTCGCTTGGAAACAAGAGCCATGTGCCTGACAGTTCCCAACTCTCTTAAGACTTGAGCAGCATGTGAGGTAGCAGTAGAGCTTTTTCTCAGTCTCAATGCAGATGACACTTCGAATCCAATGGGATAGTTAATACGCTAGTAATGGAGAAGAGATAGAACGACAGCCATCTCTGGTGTTTAGAATCAAACCAGAACTTAGTTACTGCTTTAAAATGTTGCCATTATTTTAATCAGATGGTACTGATAGGGGAGAACTACAAACTACTCCAGCAAGACTGAAAAGGACTGTCATTGTTTGCTTACTTCAGGGAGTGTTTGATTTGGGTCAAAGTTGAAGAATGATAAGAAGAGAGAAGTATGAAGAGAGAAGTCTTGAGAAGAAATACATGAATATTTGTTTTGCTATTTAAGTCTTTAATTACATAAGTCCTCTTTTATTCCATCCAAATGTAGATTCAAAAATACAAACTGAGAGAGCAGATGGAGAAACATCTTCAACTTCAATAGGAGGAGGCAGCGTAAGAGACTCCAAACAAACATGTTGTCTGCTACCTTTTTTTAGTTCCAAACATTTAAGAAGCTGGAAAGGATCACTGGCCTGTCTTAAGAAACATTAAGTCTGCTGATTACCAAATCAGGTTTGCTTAAAATAGTATGCTTTTTCTAAAATAAAAAAAATAGAAAAATACAAATGTAGTATTTCTTTAACAGAGATAAATTTGGGTAATGAACTCTTCGGCAAGATCATAAGAAAGAATGGGTTCTCACGAGAATCTGTCCATGTGACAAAATTCCATCAAATCACAGAGACCTCCATGCTGTTCATTCCTACACTTTGGGAGCAAGGATTATCAACCATCATGTTACATTAAAAAAATGGGCAAGAGCTAAAATCAAAGTATAATGAATGAATTATACATTTACAAATCTGTTCCTAACCACTTATCCAAGTGAAATTTAAACTATAGATCTTCCCAACTATAGATGCAGCCAAGAGTACATCTTTCCTAGGACAAGATGCCAGGCTCAGGAGGAGGCAGAACCTCAGAAATTGAACTATTTCACCCTTTACTGCTACTCATTAGAGGAAGTAGTTTTTGTTCCCAGTTTGTGTTAGAGCAATAAAATGCAACGCAAAATGTTTTCTCAATTGTTTATTTCTCCATTAAAACATAGATATTACAGAAATGTCCAATTTTCCAATCATATCAGAAATAAAAGTGCACCTGAATTGGTAAGGGTTCTTTTTTTCACGAGAGGATTGAGCACCTCCCAACCATGACACACTGAACTGCAGAGACTGATAACATTTTCATTTTCTTCAGCTACAGTGCTCCACATCAGCTGAATTATTAATATCTTTGTTTATAACATTGCTACTTGACTTCCTTCTGTGTCTTACTCCTTCTGTGTCTTACTTACTTTCTTCTATTACTCAGCAGACTATTCCAAAAATGAAATAAATCTTATTTAATTTGAATTTTAAGCTACCTTGCATATTTGTAGATCTTTATACCACAGCATATTATACATATGCTTTATATTAAAAGAATCTTTAATCTTTAATATATATATATTATATTAAAACATTATATCTACATATTTATATGATGTATGTATATATAAATGTATTCCAAACAAATATATTATTGAAATATGTGTGTGTGTGTGTGTGTGTGTGTGTGTGTGTGTGTGTGTGTGTGTGCATATAAAATCTGATTTATTTATATTGAAATAAAATTGGATTCTAGACATGTGAAAAGTTCTTAAGGGAACTGGGGTCCAATATTTATGTAGTGGGCTTTCTCTTCCTTGCACAAAAGTATTCCTGTGTCTAACAGAATTATATTTCTTGGAACAGTCCTGATTCCATTCTTAATTTTTCAGAGAAGAAATGTATGATGGCTCCTTATCAGAGGAAAAATGTTGATTTCAAAGTTAAAGTGGCCATTGCATTCCTTTTCGCTGAATTGTTCTTGGGAGGACCTCAGACAGAAAGTATTCAGCTCTACAATAAACAGTCAAAGGAGACCAATAAAATGAAGGAATCAGAGCATGTATGTCTGTGATACTATGTCCCACACTTTGGTTTTTCAGCTGGGAGTGGCCTCTACCCATGGGAGCAGAATGTTTACTAGTGTAATCCAGATGAACCGCTTTGCAACTGAAACACAAAATAGACAGTACATGAAGAAAACACTTCATTAAATGGTCTTAAAGTTTTTATGATTGTAGCACATTCAAAAAAAATTATCACTTTTCAATAGCTTAACCAGTGTCTTTTCTGAATGTTAATACAGTATTGCTATTTAATATTTACTTACTGGAACTATTTAATATTTACTTACCAGAGAGGATGCTCTTCTAGTTAGTACATTCTGCAGTAATAAAAAATGGCCTTTCTTTGACAAGGATATTGGAGCAGGAAATACAAGTAGGAAAAAGTATATTCCTACAAAAGAATCCCAGACAAATTTGATTACATTATAATGAAATAAATGCATATGCTCAAATATAGAGATGATATAGGAGATACAGATATAGATATCTACTTGGTTCAAAAAATATGGACATCAAAACAGTTATAAAGTTATAAGGGTAAATTATTCTTCAGCTGACCTTCCCAATTTGGTGCTTTCTAAAAGTATTGTCCATTAGCTCTCATGTTAGGATGGGCAAGAAACAAAAGTTAGTTGAGTTTTGGTCAGTAATACTTGATGCCATTGCTGAATTAATCCACATTCTGGGTTTGCATAATTAATACATTTGGCCATAACCTAACTAACTAAAAGAAGTTGGCTCTTACAATATATTAGGCCACAATAATGTTTTTAAAATTTCCAGTTAACAATTGTGGCAGTTTCCCACCATATGGATACATACTTAAGCCAAGATTTCTCAAATGTTGCAAGATTGTGACCTCCTAACATTATAAAATAAATTTATGCAACTCTCCCATGGGCGAAACTAATGTTTTTATAAGGGTTGGAGCGTGGTAGGAAACAAATCTACAATACCACTTACTTTTAATCACTACATTTTAAATGAGTTTATCCTAGAGTTTCTCAAACTTTGCAGTACTCATCATGGGTTTGAACAGCAATGTGAGGAGCTAAGCTTGGAGAGAGTATAAATGGCGTTCACATTGCCTGTGCAGGCCTGATCTGATTTTTATAATTTGTGATCCTATTCTCTTAAATAGCTGGCAATTCAGCACAGATCACAAGCTGCAATCTAAGAGCTCCTGATATAAACAATTAAAAAATACGATACTGATGGTTTTACAGAGTATGTCATCTTTCATACGGGAAGTCAAAACAGCGTGCCTCTTTTTTGATTTCCACAATTTTGTAAGGAAGATTGGGATGAGACACGGCTGAATTAAAATTACCCATCGCAGGCTTAATATTAAATTAAATCTAACCCTCCTCAAAACTTAAAACTCCCCCCTCCATCCAAGAAAGACCTCTGGTGCTGCTCCCATTACCACACAGGTCCACTTGTACATCTTTGCCCTTCTCACTGTAACCTTCTCTAGTCACCTTCCCTCACAAATTGATATTGATTTTGAAACTTACCTGAAGAAACAGGATGGAAATCCTCTGCATGACCTACGTACTAGGTAAGAATAGTCTGACTCGCTGCTTCTGTGGTTCTGGTTCTTCCCGTTGCAGCATCCTCTTTTATAACTCTGGTTCAGAAAAAAGAAAAGAGAAGGAATCCCTACATCTGCATGATTTCAATATGTGTCAGCAATTAGTCATTCCTATATGTCAAATCGGATATCATCTTGCAGAAGTGCCCTTATTTTCAAATATACGACAAGTTTACATCCTAAAAAACTCCCCAAGATTTTTCTCAAATTATTCCATATAAGGTCATAGATACTTCCTATTCTCTGTAATCGAATGACATTTGTTCTAGATGTGGTTACTGCAGCCAGTGGATGACATGGAGGACAGGACAGAATTTACACACAAGCCGCATTTTCTCTTCCTCATATTAGATTAATGCAGAAGGCATCCATGAGAATGAGAATACTGTGGGCCTTTCATGAGAATAATAGTATGCTAATTCATCAAAAGTTATTTTTAGCCTCAAGCTGTAGATTCAGTTTTAGAACAGTGTAAAAAGTTACTGGCATCTCATGGCGGTGCTTCATAAAAGGTCTCTGGAACATTAATGTAACACCTGCCTGCATTGCTTTAAAGCAACTTCATCTTTTCTTGGGAACAGTTATGAATCTGAAGAAGAGACTTGGTTGCTTTAAAAAGCTGCAGAATAGGAATAGAATCCAAAGTTCTGCACAGCCCTATTCTAGGAAACATGAGAGTTAGGACCCTTTGCAGGGATCTAGGAAAGAAGGTGTCAAAAAATATCAAGATGGCTATGACCTTGCAATCAAAGCCTGTCTCCCAGGAGCAATGGCCCCTTTATTTAGAGAGATGGAGGAGCAGACAAGCAGTTAAAAGCATCTGCAGGCAAACCTTGGGCATATGGAAGGAGAAGATTTATTTATTTATCTATTCACACTTGCCCTTTTAAGTTCAGGGACCAAATTTTAAAGTCAACATATTAAGTTTCCTTTGAAGCTTCAGTCTGTTAAATTATTAAATCAAATTATTCATGAACAATTAGAAATAAGCCTCTTATCTTTAGCATACTTTCCAAAGAATGCTACATCCATGTTCAGAAGTAGCCCAGCAGGTAAGCAACACAGAAAGGTTCTGGCAAGAGAAGCATCTCAGAGACTTCAGTAAGTTCCCTCAACTCCTGCTCTTAATCAGCCAACTTCAGAGATGGCGAGACAGACATGCCATTGTAAGCATTACCTAAACTTGTCCCATCCCACTTTAAAAAGAGTGATCATTGACTGCTCTTCTGCCAGAGGTGAAACCAAGATAATCCTCCTTACCTCAACTTGGTCTGCAATAAATAAGTAAAAATAGAACATATTTAAGCCAGGACAGGGACCCTAAAATAATGTGTACTGAATGTTAAAAGGATACGCCATAGCAGCTGTGATGTACTTAGAGAAATGAGCAATATACGCTAAGTTGTAAATCATAATCATAAACCATAAAATTATCCAAGGCCTGGAGACTAAAACATATGAAGAACGGCTGCAGGACTTGGGTTTGGCTAGTCTAAAGAAAAGAAGAAACAGGGGTGACATGATAGCAGTATTCCAGTATATGAGGGGCTGCCACAAAGGATCAAATTATTCTCCAAATCACCAGAAAGCAAGACAAGAAACAATGGTTGAAAACTGACCAAAGAGAGAAGCATCCTGGAATTAAGAAGAAACTTCCTAACAGTGAGGACAATTAACCAGTGGAACAGCTTGCTTCCAGAAATCGTGGGCGCTCCATCACTGAAGGTTTTTAAGAAGAGACTAGACAGTCACTTGTCTGAAATAGTATAGGTTCTCCTGCTTGAGCAGGGGGCTGAACTAGAAGATCTCCAAGGTCCTTTCCAGCTCTATTCTATTATGTGAAAAGTAAATTGCAATTCTATGACTGGTTTACAATGAAGCATAATATCAAAGAACTAGCAGCCACACATTTGAAACATGTAGCAGCATATCCTACTGCATTTTTGCTCTCACAATGTTTACTAGTCCACCATCAGGGTTTTTTTCTTTTACCTTGCTGTTGACAAAAGCTCTTCTAGCAAATATTCTGATTTGGTGATAGTTCTCTCCCCCAGAAGTAATAAGGTACTTCCTTCACCAGGTATAAGTTGCCATCTAGTGCCTGGTTGGTGTAACTGTAAAGTTGATTCAAGAACTCACCTCTTTATACTAAAATATCAAAAGTCTGGTATCACCTTTTTTGACTTGTATAGTTTATGAAAAGGTGCAAGTTTTCATGAGTTATAGTTCACTTCATCAGATGCACAGATGCCTTTTAATAATTTGTTAATGAAAAAAAGTGCTACCAGACTTGGGTTTTTTTTTTTTTTTGCCACCAAAGATAACAAGGTTCTCTTAATATCAAATCTCAATCCAATTCAGTGCATTACCTAAGAATCACCCAGTGGTGGGATTCAAATATGTGAACAACCGGTTCTCTGTGTGGATGCCGCTTCTGGAAGTCCATTCTGGGCCTGGGCAACAAAATATTAGCTACTGGTTCTGCCGAAGTGGTGTGAACCAGCTGAATCCCACCACTGGAAGCACCTTATGGCAAAAAGGGCATCCAATAAATTTAATAAGGCTGTCACAAACATACCTTATATTCCACCCAGTTTGACATGTGCATGAAATAAAAATCATGGATGCAATTAATCAAGGAACTTTTATTTTATACTGTTTTCTGCCTTCTGTTCCACGGTCACCTGAGTTCCCCATTGAGTTGAGAAGTCTCTTGAGCTCAATTTACTCTTGCCTTCAAAGAGCAACTAATCGTTGTTCCCTTTAATGTGAAACATAAACGGGAACCAGTGAGTTTCGACTCCACCTCTTAGAAAACTGGTCTGCAAACCATAGAAGTTGCAAATATCTGGCCCGGTAGTGGTTTTTTAACACACACACACCCCGCTTTCCCCATCTCCTGCTTCTCTAATATCGCGCCTAAGTTCTGAACATTTAAAACCTTAAACATACTTTTTCGTGTCAATAAAGAAATTAGCGGATTATGAATCTAGAGGCGTTTTTTTTTTCCAATGGACCAACACAGCACAGCAACGCTTTACTGGTTAAGAGCTACTACTGCCAGACTTTTCTAGAAGAGAAGCGATGAGGAACTCGCTTTCAGAAGAAACACGCGTGGTCCCCAACAGAGCCGAAGCCTCTCCCCCGAAGAGGCGGGTCTTGTTTTCTCTCCCCTCCCTGAGGGTGTCAGAACTGCAGCTGCCCTGGGTGGAAGTGGCAAAGAGTGTCATGGAGGCGCTGCTAGAAAAACTGCGAGCAGGGCTTTCCGCACGGCTTGGTCGAATTGCGCCGTGGGGGAAGCCCAACGCTTCCCAACTCCACCAGCGCCCTCCGGAAGCGCAAGCTTCACTCTACGTCCACGTGAGTTAGATTTGAGGCCGGGAAAACCCGAGCGAAACCCACTCGCGCATGCGCTAACTGAAAAACGTAGGCGCTGGAAGCTTCCTCGGACACGCGTCGCGCTGCACGTACCCTGCTCCTCTGTTAGTTGAGCTGGTGCGCTGGGTTCCAGTGGATACCTCCTTCCTGCCTTCTGCTCGCTTGGGCGGAGGGTTAGAAGGCCTGGGAGTGTTCTGCGCATGCGCTTTTGTAAACCATAAATTGCTCTACCATGAACGGGTAGAAAAGTTGCTCGAATTTTGGCGGGACTTGCAGTCCTGTTTTTCTGTGCTCCGTGCTGTAGCCCAGATGTTTTAGTTGCACGAAGCAGTTTTGAGAAGAGCATTTAAACTGTCAAACACGAGTGAGCGTCAGGAAGAGGCACTTTTCGGAAAGCATTCTTAAAAGTCTTAATTCTCTCCTCCCGTAATTGATGGCTGTCAAACCTTTAGTCAATGCAGATAAATTTGCCATTGTTAAAAATGGGGTCAGCAGCACAGTGGAAACTTGCCGCACGCCTGCCCTGTAATCTCTAATTAGTACTGCACAAACTAATGGGAGCATGGTAATTTCTAGATACATATCAAGCGCACAGGAATTTCTAGATAGGTATCAACCACAGAGGAAATGCTGCAACACCCCAAAGAAAAGTTCACATCAAAAGTGGAACTAATCCTGACCCAGCTATATTTTTAACGAAAAATACTCAAAACGTTATTGAGGAAATACTGTAAAAGAGGAAACATATTTTTTTGTTAGTTGCAAAGTCGTGTCCAACCCATCACGACCCCATGGACAATGTTCCTCCAGGCCTTCCTGTCCTCTACCATCTGGAGTCCATTTAAGCTCACGCCTACTGCTTCAGTGACTCCATCCAGCCACCTCATTCTCTGTCATCTCCTTCTTCTATTGCCCTCAATCTTTCCCAGCATTAGGCTCTTCTCCTTCCTTCTCATTAGGTGGCCAAAATACTTCAGGATCTGGCCTTCTAAAGAGCAGTCAGGGTTGATCTCTAAGAGTGACCGGTTTAATCGCCTTGTAGTCCAGGGGACTCACAGTCTTCTCGGGCACCATAGTTCAAAGGCCTCAGTTCTTTGGCGCTCAGCCTTTCTTATGGTCCAACTTTCATAACTGTACATTGCAACTGGGAAAACCATGGCCTGGACTATATGTACTTTTGTTGGCAGGGTAATGTCTCTGCTTTTTAGTATGCTGTCTAGATTTGCCATAGCTTTCCTCCCCAGGAGCAAGCATAATAAGGATACTCAAATCAGAGCCTTGGATGTTGGCAATGGGAGGAAACCACCATCCATTTTGGTAGACTAACTTTTGAGAAAATCTGCAAAATAGTAGAGTTGGTTTATGTCAGCATCACATATAGGTGAAAATGATTGCAAGAGCAATCTACATTTTAAAGATAGCGATTCCTTAGAATTTCAAGCTTTTGTTAGTCAAACAAATTTGTTAATCAAATTCAAGATCCAAATGGGCTGGTTTTCAAAAAAAAAGTTCTTGATTGATGTAGATACTCTTACGGATTCCAATGAAGAGCTTTCATTGAAATTGTGGGTGCTCCAACAAGAAGAGATTAGACAACCATTTGTCTGAAATGGTATTAGGGTTTCCTGCCTGAACAGGGAATTGGACTAGATCACTAGAAGACCTCCAAGTTGGAAGAACTCTGTTCTGCTTCCATGAAGAAACTGTTAACATCAGTGAGGTCATCTTTGTTAAGAGTGGCCAGTAAGGAATTATGTTCCAAGTGAGACAATTTTCCCAATAGGTTCCCACATATTCTTTTCCAAAGCCGTGGAAAAATCATCTTCAGCTGTCCAGGTAGCTGCATCTGTTGTGTTTCTTACACTGTCATTATAAAGATGGTAAATCTCTTAAAGAACAAGTAAGTTACAGCACTACACATTTATTTAGAGTTACACATCATTAACAGCAGTGGATTGAACTCAATGAGAATTAATATGTAGCTGCCCAGAGATGCTGTATCAGTGAGATGGTGGCATAAAAAATTAATAATATTTCATTCCATAATACAATTTAGGGGAAGAGATGGAGACATATATATGATGAAAACAAATTCTTAGAGGAATGGAAACATGTTAGCAAAATAGAGAAGCGTCTAATTGACAGTTTTATGAAAATGACTAGGGCAACCTATCTGATATGTTTCATTAAGACAACTCTTCTTGAAGACAGTAATAGAAGAAGGGCAGGGAAGTAACTTTAGGTTTGCTAATTATGAATATCTGTGATTACATTATCTATTATCTATGCATATGTATAACTATCATTTTCTCCTTTCCTGAAATATATAAATATGAGTGTATCCTTTTATCTATAGGAGTCCTTCATTACTTTCTTGAGGGAATTATTCCATTTATTTAATAGTATGCATCGTTAAATAAATAAAATACTGTAATCAACCATGATTATTAGGTTTTGGGTCCTGCATTTGATTCCACAAAAACTAAAGAATTATTGTCTTAACAGAAAGAAACATTATCAGTTATGTTGCCGTAGAAATTTTGATAAAGCTTTCTGCACTTTGAAATTGCCAGAATTAGCACATATTAGTACAACCCTACGTTTCTATTTTGCTAACATATTCCCACTCCGCTTAGATTTTGTTTTCCTCACAAATAACTGTGTTGAGAAAAGAACATCAGTAGTAAGCTCTAGAACATGGGTGTCAAACTTGCTGCATCACAACTTTTTTTGCATTGCCGTAGCTGGGGTGAGTGCATCCACATGATTCAACCGGACGGGGGGGGGGGGCTGGCAATTTGACACCCCTGCTAGAGGACATTGTAATCTAGCATTTTATTTCAAGCGCTTAGGAACAAGCCTTTCAGTTGGTTGAATGACAGCTTTTGCTTCTCTCTCACTATCAAGGTTATACCTCTGGGTTTTTTGTTGTTTTTTTGTTAAGCATCAAATTACAATGTACAGTATTTTTTATGATTGAATTATATGATTTTCTCATTTTAAAGTAAATAATATACTAGGAAGTTCAGTTTTGGCTCTGTTCCCCATGTTTGGTTTTAGGTAGTTTCCAGTAGCGTATGATATACAGTAGTTGAATGGAAAAGTAGAATTGGTTTTCAGATAATTGTTGGAAGCTGAGGCAATCTTTTTATGTGTGTGAATGTTCCTGAAAATAGGGATCTGATCTGAGCAACGATTAATGAAGCAGATGTTGTAACTATAACAGAAAAGAGCTGGAAATATGCTACTAACTCATCTGAGTGAGGAGAGTTAAAGGAACGTGTCCTTTTGTATGTGTGTGGCAATGAAGAAAAGCAAAAGGGAATGATACCAGTTTAATAGTCTTTCAGGCAAAGAGCATGCAGGCATTGAGGTCATGAGTTACTGAAAAGTAAGTCCAACATTAACTGACTCTGTTTCAAAAGGCAATAAAATACCATGATGCCTCTAAAATCTGTTTAGGACCACCTCACACTGCATGCTGCTTTCATTCTACGTCAAACATCTAGGAGCATATTGCAGATGGAAACAGCTTGACTTCTATAAAATTTAATTATTAAGCCATTACTTGATGCTCATGGACTTGTGGCACATATGAAGAATGCTCCATGACTGAGCCATACTCACATTAACTATGTCACCTATCTGCCCTGTATTTGGGAGATGCCTACTGTTGATGTTTTTCAGATGCTTACTAAATCTTTTCTACTGAATTGTCTCTTTACAGTGGTTCTCAACTTTTTTTTCACTATGGACCCCCTTTAAATAACCTTTTGTGGCCACAGGCCACGGCCATGGACCACCAAGACTTAACTCAAGATTTAAATCATAACACTTCTTCAAGCTTTTGCAACTCTCTGTGACAACATCACAGCCTCCCCAGGGATCCATGGACCATAGTTTCAGAATCACTGTCTCTCTACATCTTTGTCTCTCTACATTTTTAATATTCTCTGTGTGTGTATTGGGTATGCAAAATATTTCAGTTTCAACTTTGAAACATTGCACGTGGCTATTTTAAATCTGCCTTTAAAGTGTATTGTAACGTTTTTGTATTTTTAATAGTTTTATTCTCCTTATTTATATACTACTTCAAGATGTAAAGAAGGGTGAAAAAATAAAAAAGGAAACCATAGGTATGAGGACGCAGCATGATACTGAGTATTACTATTCTTATGGGAAGCCTCTGGAAATTGCCCCTAGCTAAAGGTAGACAATCTTTATGTTTGGATGGCATTTATCAACTGAAACTAATTTATTGTGAAGTTGAGTTTTTATATAATAGAGTTAGCATTTTGAACTGTTATCACAATGTTTTAAAATGCTGGGTATCAGGATGTCTTGTGGCATGAAGATACTTAAATCTTCACATATCAGGATAATTTTAAATGATTTCTTTTTTGTGTGGGTCTATATGGCTTGGCGATAACTAACAACAACATAATACTGTTGGCTAAGAATATAAAAAGGCTCCCAGAAAAAATTGTTAGAATAAACTCTCTCTTGTCATTTTGGTTCCTTAGTGGCCTTACTGTGAGAAACGCTGCAGTTACTGCAACTTCAACAAATATATTCCCCGAAATCTGGATGAGCTTAGAATGAAGAACTGCCTCATTCAAGAGGTCCAGACTTTGATCCACCTAAGTGAAGTTCAGAGGTAAATGATAGGACAAGGAGTAAAAAGGATTTGGAAATTTTTAAATCTATCTTTTAGATTTTTAATTAAATGAAGATTTTTCCCATTTGCATCATTCATCTGTTTTACAAGTCAGTACAATACAAAACATAGTGCAATTCCACAAAATTCTTAAATGTAGCATCAAGGAGACTTACTTACTTACCTACTTATCAAATTTGTGTAGCCACATATCTCACAAATGTGACAGTAAAACCAACAGTTAAAAGCAACTTTAAAATAACCACTAAAAACAATTCAACATAAATAAGATCACAAAAAATGGATCAACATCCCACACATAATACATCTATCTCTTGTGCACTCCCTGTTCCCGTGAGCTTCTCAAGCTAACTGGGATATTTTTAAAATTAATTTTTATCGAAGAATTTTATACTGTGCTAAAAGTTATACAAATTCAAGAAACAGATAAGTAGTAAATAGATAAAAAAAATAAAAAATATAAAGTGGTGTTTTCCAGTCTTCTTTATGGCAGTTACAAACTTATCTTCTATTCTTCCTTTTTAAAGTCATATCATAATTCTCTTTTCACATATTTTATGCTTTCAAATTATCAAATCCATAGATCCCCAGTTCATTTTCCCCATTTTCAATAAGAAGTCATAAAGAGTTTCCAGTCACTAATAAATACAGTTATCTTTTCAATAAACAAACAGTTCAATTTTGCCATTTCTACAAATTCTTTAATTTCACCAATCATTCCTCCGGTGTAGATATTTCCAAATTTTTTATCTTTGTGCAAATAATAATAATTTTGCTGCAGTTACCATATATAAAAATGGGCATTTTCTAATTGGCTGTCCATAAATCTTAATAAAAAATATGGTTTCAGTTGAATGTTAAATATTTAAATAAATCTTTTAAATCACTGTAAGTAGTTGGGTTCTCCACACTTTGAATTAACAATATGTTAACCATTTCTGCTTATATTTATTCCTCATTCTCAATATGGCATTCTTAACATAATTTTAAAAATCTACACTTACCAGATTTTGAAAGATTATTACAGATTTTGAAAGTTTATAATCCAGCATAGATGTAAGTAAAGTATGTGTCAGTCGTGTTTGATCTCATGTGGAATTCAGGTAGAGTTAATATGCCTAAAACCGCATGTCATCTTCCAGATACAAAGCTGAATCCAGTAGCAGTCCAGATTGATTCATCCTGATTATTCAGTGAGACTTCTCCATTGAAGGCAATTGAAATTCTGTTCCAAAATCTATCTGTTTGGAAGCACATCTGTTTTGTTTGGGTTAAGTTTCAATTTATTAGTCTTCATCCAGATGATTATTGCCACCTGACACCTATTCAAGTTCCCTAAAGCAGAGGTCCCCAAACTTTTGGGCATCAAGGATCCGTTATGTGGAGAGAGAATTTTCTGCAGACTGGAGGGGGTGTGGTTTTGTGTGCTGCCTGCATCCTACAGATGGGGCTTTGCTTGTTTTGTGGCCCGGTTGCTGGCATGCTGTGGCCCGCTCCCAGTTCACGGACCTGGGGTTGGGGACCCTACCCTAAAGGTAGATGAAAAAGAGAAATCACCATATTTATTTGCTGATAACAATGGACCCCAAGTATCCTTATTCTCTCCCAACAATTTTGCATAAATGTTTTATATGGAGGGTGATATTTATTCAAGCAGTCCAGTGTTCTCTGGGCTGAATACATTTCTCCTATCTTCACTTCCTGAAACTGACTTCAAGGAAAGGCTGGAACTATGATAAAATTGTGCCAAGGACATACATATATTACATGTAGATTATTAGGATCTGCTATAACCAAAGAATCCAAATCACAACAAATGCAAGGAATGCTATTCACAAAATGTCTTAACAGTCTTCAGTAGCAACCAAGTTGTTTTTCCTCGCTTTACTAGATCCTTGATATAATAGACTTCTTACATCTTTAAATAGATGCTTTTAGGGCGTTCATTCGATCCTTGTATACTATTTCTTTGCTATTGTCAAACTGATGACATAGCCTTAATAATAACACTAACCTGTGTTTATTTGGGTTTGTTTCACATTGAGATCAATCCAAAGAAACCCTGTATTTCTGATGTTGAAACAGAGTGTTTGCATTCAAAACTGTGGCTCAGTTTCAAACTCTTCCAAAAGGATCAGAACATCCCATTTTAAAATTAACATTGGTGTCTTGCAGAGCATTTGCCTTTGAAATGACTCAGAGTGCTTTAGCATACACCTACAATATACAAAGAATATTAGAGGACAGAGTGGGACTCCTCCTTTCTACCACTTCCTCTCACAAGAGGTTGAGAAAATAGGGAGAACCATCAGTTCTAAATAATCCTCTCTCTCTTTTTTGGCTTTAGAATCACTTCAGTGTACTTTGGTGGGGGAACGCCAAGCTTAGCCAGCCCGCTTACCATTGATGCTATCCTGGACACTGTCTCCCAATGCACACATTTAGCAGAAGGCGCTGAAGTTACTTTGGAAGCAAACCCCGCTTCAGCAGATGCCCTCTGCCTTTCCAAGTTCCAGAAAGCTGGTGTCAACCGTCTCTCCATTGGAATTCAGGTGAGAGGTCAGGAGCATTGCTTTTAGGACTGTATTAGTCACCATCCACTTACAATATTAGAATAATAAAGTTAAAGAACATACTTAAAATAATGTGGACTAACGTTAAGCAAATTTACTTAACATGGAATTGTAGAAAGAGACCGAAATATACCATTTTTTTCTGTTCCGCTGATCACCTTCTTCTCTCCTCCCTCCTTCCCATATATGCTTTTGGACTACAATGTGATAAACAGAATGTAAGAACTGACAATTACTTCAGAGTTATAAATTCAAAAAAGCCAATTCACATGCTATATAGGGGAATAAAAACCCAAGATCATAGCCAACCTGACTTAGGGGAAATTGCTTCCTAGTTTTAATGAGTTTTTATAATTAAAGCACGTAGACGTGTTTTGTAAATTTGACATGGAGCGTTTTTGCTGAAATAGTAGCATGGAAGAAAGATTTAGGTACATTTTTCTATTGCTATTCTGGTCAGTATATTAATGGGTTGCTCTTTTCCATGTAAAGTGTAGTTTGGTTATCAATTTATACTGTGTAATCTTTAAAGACACCCCCCCCTTTTTTTACTTGCTACTTACAGGTAAAGATTTGCATGCTTTCTATACATTATATCCAGATATTTGTATTTTGAGCATGTGTCAATACACTTTGTGTACCACTGAGTTAGTAGTGGGATATTGGCAATAGTTGTTGGGCTTGCATTGTAATTTCTACATTACAGTTCTTGATTTATGACCAATTGTTTAATGACCATTCACAACAGCCTCGGAACAGATGATTTAGTTTTTGAACATGCATGGGGCTGATGTAAATCACATTATTTTTCTTTTTTATACCTTAAATTTCTTTGGCTTCCTATTTCTAGTCCTTTTTGTACTGTGCATAACAACAAAAGGGAACAACACAGAGTGGCTATGCAAGTATGTATGTTTTTTACAAGATTTTATTTTTTTTTCTCACCATAATCATAATTCTTGCACAATACACTTGCTTCCCTTTTGTTCAGTTGAAGAAAAGAGTCAAGCATATTCATGATTCTTATTTCCTTCTGTGCAGTCACTTGACAATGGGGAACTCAAGCTTCTTGGAAGGAACCACACAGCTTGTGATGCTTTGAGGACTTTAGAAGAAGCCAAGAAACTCTTTCCAGGGCGGACATCTATTGACTTAATATTTGGTCTCCCAGGACAGACTGTTGCTTCCTGGGCCCAGGGTTTAGAGAAAGCACTTGCAGTATGTGATGACCATATATCCCTTTACCAGCTGACTCTAGAAAGAGGCACATCTCTCTTCAAGCAGGTCCATCAGGGCTTTCTGCCCCCAATCAACGTGGATATAGTATCAGAGATGTATGAGTGTGCACGACATGTTCTACAAAATTCAGGTTTTTACCAGTATGAAGTCTCCAATTTTTCAAAGAATGTAAGTCTTTTCCTTTAGCTAAACCTTGTGCCATACAAATCAGTAAAAGGAAGTAGGCCAAAGACATTCAGAAGGTTCTGGTAATGAAATAAGATTTTCTTTTCACACACTCTCTCTGTATTAGAAAGATAATACAAATGTGTTCCTTCTGCTGAAGTGAAAAGAATATGATTTTAAGATTTTTTTCACAATAGTGAAGATCCAAATCTTACTCTGCTTCTTATCTCCGGGGAGAATGGTGAAAAAGCTGCTACTAGAAACAAAAAAAAAAGACATGTGTAAATAAAAATTCTGTATTCTATTCACATGTAATTCAATTTTCACGTTGAATTACAGTGAAGGCCTCTGAGAAGACTTTCCTTCCTCCTCCCTAGTCTTCTCCCTTTTTCTTCCAAACAGGAAAAGTCTCCTAAATGACTGTTAAGCCCAGTGAGGTGCCATAGGTTTTTTAAAAGCAACTCCTTAAAGATTGTGTCTCTAATATAATGTAGCATTTGTGTGCAGACTTGCAGTTCCTTAGTATTGTTTGCTTGTTTGTTTGTTTACCCAGGGGGCATTTAGTACTCACAACCTCTCCTATTGGCAAGGGAGCCAATATATTGGCATCGGACCAGGTAAACCTGTTTGGGGAGATGATGGGCCAAGTGCTGCAACTGCTTCTACAGTTGGTTCTAGTACAATGTATTGGAGTACCATTTCAATTATGGCTTGCTGTTTTTTTTTAATAAAAAAACTCCTAAGCTAAAAGCTAAAAACGATGTTTCTGCCTAATAATTCCTTCTCATATAAACTAGCACCATGGTTGTTCAGAACAATCTCCTTCTTTCTCAGGAGCCCATGGGCGATTTGTACCACGGGGAGATGGTAAAATCCATCGAGAGGCAAGAATACAGACTTTGGAACCGGATATATGGATGAAAGAAGTGTTGGCCTTTGGGCATGGGACCCGGAAACAGACTCCACTCAGGGAACTGGATATGTATGTAAGAAGAAATGTGGAAAGGCTCTTCCTTATCATTTCCTTTCTTTAAACATACGCGGTATTCCTGAAAACTCAGCCTTATTAACGGGCACATGAACCACCATTTTATATCCTACATTGCATCCCATTTATTGGCACAGTGGTTAAAATGCAGTATTGCAGTCTAATTCTGCCCACAGCCAGGAATTTGATCCCGATTGGCTCAAGGTTGACTCAGCCTTCATCATTCCGAAGTTGGTAAAATGAGGATCCAGATTGTTGGGGGCAATAGGCTGACTCTGTAAACCGCTATCAAGGGCTATCAAGCACTATGAAACGGTATATAAGTTTAAGAGCTATTGCTATTTTGCATCTGGAGCCTATTATATATTTAAATTCCAGTTTCCATAAATCCAAAATGCTAAATTAAATCTTAAACTATACCTGCTTTTTGGAGCAATGTAAAATTTATCTCTTTCTGATCTAATTTTTGCATGGCCTTTTTATTTTATAACTCTGATTATGTTAATGACATCTTTTAAAAACACTGAAGAGGTGCTTTAGAAGAAACACTCATAAAAAGGTGCTTTATGAAAAGTTTAATAAAATATGATTACTACTAGACATGCCACACCTACTTAATCTCCAATTTAGAGATAATAAAAAATTATTTATAGAATTATTGTAAGGTTTATTCAAAGCAAATATATATGCATATATTATTGAAAGTAGATGATGTAGGTGAAGTCATATGAGTACAGGTGCTGCCCTGGTTAATATGTTAAAATCATTGACTAGTTCCCGTTTTCCTACTGTTGTTGGCACAAATATATGTTTATCAAAATTCTAATGGCTGTGTTGCTTCAAAGTTTGGGATCTTCCATCTATCCTAGACTGGAAGAGGTTTTGATCCTGGGACTCCGTATGGATGTAGGAATCACACACCAGGTATAGTTCTCATATTTTAATGTGACGACTGTTCATGTTTGAAATGTTGAAACCTTTATTGCCATAATTCCAGAATGCTTGGATGGAATGATTTTGCAGAAATGGCTCATTTCTCATTCTTTCTTTTTATTGTGTGCCTTTTCAATTAATTACACGTGATGTTGCGCTTTGTGACTGCATCGCTAAGCAATGGAAATTCCAGTCCCAATTGCTTTCATAACTCAAGGACTACTTGTAGTCGATGCTAGAGATAGCAGAGGAATAAATAACACATAACTAGTTTCTAGTCCTTGTTTAAGAAACATGACGTGTGATTACTAAATGCACAGGGACTGGAAGAGATCCTCCTGAGATTTCCAGTAAACGTGACATTGGACTTTAAAACCTACATATCTCTGCTCAATTTCGTTGAACCTAGTTTATTTTTTGTAAAATAGGAATTGCCCTCTTCAATGATCTACCAAAGATGGGACCAAAAGGCTGCTACCAAAAAAGATCATTTCAAGCATTTGCAGTATTTTAAGTGATGTTCTGCTAAGCCTATCTTGCAAAAATTAGAGAAAGCCTTCAACTTACAACCATTTGTTTAGTGACTGTTCAAAGTTACAACAGCACTGGAAAAAGTGACTTATGACAGTTTTCCACACTTCACAACTATTGCTGTCTCCCCATGGTCATGTGATCAAAATTTGAATGCTTGGAAACAGGCATATATTAATGACAGTTGCAGTGTCCCAGAGTCATGTGATCACCTTTTGCGGCTTTCTGGCAAGCAAAGTCAATGGAGAAGCCAGATTCACATAACTACTCAACAGCTGCAGTGATTCATTTAATGACTGCGGCAAGCAAGGTTGGGGGCAAAACTGAATAACTGTCTTGCTTAGCAACCAAAATTTGGGACTCAATTCTGTCTTAAGTCGAGGACTACCCGCATAGCAAAAGAGGAAGGTTTTAGTTAGACAGTAATCCAAATTGTGAAGATCCTAGTTAAAGTTGAGCTCTATGCATTTATTTTCTAAAGAGGTGAAGAGTTTGAGTAATTCATGTTAAGAAACATCTCTCCTAGCATCTTTTGTGTTTCCCTAGATTAGCCTCCAGTTGAAAAATGTAAAAAAAAACCCAACAGTTTTAAGGGTAGGTTTTTTCTGTTTATAGCACTGGTTGCAGTTTGCTACCAGTCTCAGTCTGTGGGATGTGTTTGGTGAGGCAAAGGAAGTCAAAGAGCTGGAAGAACATGGCTTTATTTTTCTGGACGACAGGTAAGGGGGCTGAAGGTTCATGTGTTTTAGGAAGAAGAAGATACTGATATATCTGGAGGAGGATTCACTCATGTTTTTCCTCAGTGACGATTCATATTTCTTTTTTGTAGGGGACTTAGGTGCTCTTGGAAGGGTCTGGCTGTGCTTGATTCTCTCCTGCTGAGACTCCTGAAGCAGCTCCAACAGACATGGATGGAAAGGGAAAGGAGAATGTGAACTAGCTACTGGTATAACTTTCATATTGGAAGTTAAAGAGCTTTCAGAGATGGTTTATAGTCTGAAAAATTGTTGCAATGCAAAGGTCAGATCCCATGAAATGATTGTGTCTTCAATGAAGCCAATGAGCTGATTGTGTTGTCATGCTACTGGATGCAGGGTTTTCTCTGAATTAAACAATTACCGCATCCCTGGCTTTTGTCTCTTTATACTAGAATGAAAAATGATCTGTTATTCTAGTGTCATTGTGGCTTGTATTTGAAATAAATGAAGCATGAAATATCTTTACGCTGCATAAATAAATGGATTATGCAGGAACTGGTTTTCATTAGCCAGAATCTTCCACTTTTGTAAGTACTAAATAAAGGAATGTTCCTGAGGGAAGAATTGACTGTGAAAGTAATAAAAGATGTGTATGCTGTAAATACAGGGCCACTTGTCATATATTCAGCTTAGTACAACTGGAATGTTTTTGGGCTGTCCCTTACACATAAAAGCTACTAATGCTTCTAGCACAATAACTTGCCATACAACATTCCACTATATTCATAATCCCAAAATTTCATTTACATTTGACCTATTATGCTCCCTACTGAAATTCCAAATCTACCATAGGCACATTCTGAATTAATTCAAGCAGCTTGCTGTGCTGCTTTTGTTTATCATTAATTCCATGCAACCCATTCTTGATAATACATTTACTGGAATTATTGGAATACAAGTACTCTTTGGGTTACAATGGCAATTGGGAGTGGAATTTCAGTTGCTAAATGATGTCATAAAACAAAATGTCATGTGACCACAACATTTAGTGATGGCAATTGCTTCAGTCCCCATTATCAATAAGTGAGAATTGGGTCTTTAAGTGAGCATCTCCTTGCAAGTTCCTGCCAGCTTCCAACAACCAAATTAGAGGGTAAACCGGCAGAAAGTTGCACGTCCCAGGCAATTTGCAAACAGGTAGACAGGTAAGTGGCTGCTTCTACATAGGAGAGGGAGCAAAGGGGTGTGTGGGTGGCCAAGGAGGCATGGTTCAAGTGTGGTTTGGGGTGGCTGCTACTGGGTGGGGGAGTGTGCAAGGGTGCACAAGTACCAGGGAGAGTGTGCAAGTGGCCAGAGAGGTGCAGTGCAAGCACAATGAGGCTCAGGGAGTGCACTTGAGGGTGTATCAGCAGCATGCGAGATACATAAATATAATTAATGAATGCCTTCTAATACTTTTGAGTTAATTACTGAGTTTTCACCTGAACTCTAGGCTGAAGTAGCATGTAAATTCACCAACTATTTTACTGTACCTTAATTGAGTTTTGTGACTTCTTTTTCCCTCTGATTTTAATAAAACTTTATAAACTGGATACTGAAATATGAATGAAAAACATTTTCTCCATAGTGGAATGTTTGGTCTCCAGAACGGGAAACAGTAGATGAACGTTGCATATTGCCATCTGTGGAATTGTAGATAGCATTTAGTTTGATTATCTCCTACTTTAAAATTAGAGTTTCTCAAACTCGGGCAGCAGCAGTAACACAAACAGAAATGTTGGTTTCAAACATTAGCCTAAATTGGATAAAAGAATGGATGGAATTGAAAAATACCAGAGTTTTAGCAACAGAAGGACATGATTTGCCAGCGGCGTGGCATGCATTCCTATGGGACGAAAAATATAAAATACACAGATACTTTCAAAGACACATAGTTAGGAATGCATTGCTACAGACTTGGGAAAAATAAAACAAAAACATTATATAAGAATTCCAATGTGGTTATCCCCAACAGAAGCTCTGAAACACCCAAACTTACTGGATATAAATAAGATAATTAGATACAAGGAATTAGTAAATGAACAGGGAAATCTGAAAAAACAAGAATTAGAACAAGATATAGGCAGAGAGATTGACTGGTGGACGTTTACACAAATTCAATCTAAATATACAGAGGACAAAAAATTATATGAAATACAAAAAGCCGCAAGAATTGGATAAAATTATACATGGAACAGAAATAAAATTAATTAGCAATTTATATAAATACTTATTGAGATATAAAATGGAAGACGAGGTTGTTAAAGATACAATGATTAGATGGGCAAAATTTTTTGGATATAATATAGAATTGGAGAAATAGGAAAAAATGTGGTAAACAAACAAAAATTGACTATGTCTGCAGCATTCAAGGAAAACCAGTTGAAGATGTTTTACAGATGGCATCTTCTACCAGCAAAGCTTGCCAAGATGTTCCAAAACAATTCACCAACATGTTGGAAATGTAAAAAAGTACATAGAACATATTATCATATATGGTGGACATGCCCAGTTGTGAAAAAATACTGGACTAAAATAAGAAGATGGATGGAAGAAATAACAGACCAACCCGTAGACTGGAAACCAGAGATCTTTCTGCTGGGTATTTTAAACAGAAAATACAGTAAAGAAATACGGTACTTAATTCTACATATAACAACGGCAGCAAGAATAGTATACGCACAGTTCTGGAAAATTGAGAATTTTTCATCAGAAGAAGAAGTGATAAGAAAAATCCTGGACTGTGCTGAGATGGACAAATTAACAAAAGAGATAAAAGAAAAGGAAGACACAGAGTACTATCTAATATGGAATAAGTGGTATGACTGGTTGGAGATTAAAAATAATAAATGAGAATAAATGTGGAAAGGTCAAAAATGGAAAATGTGTATATAATAATGTATAGTAATAATAATATGTATTATTTTTAGTATGAAGTATAGTATGAAGGAAGAAAAATGCAAACAAGAAACAATGGGACAACAAGGACAAATATATTTAAAGAAGAATAAGGGGGGGAAATGTAAATAATAGAAGATTACCATTACGAAATTGCTGTTTAAAAAAAAAAGGAGTATACACTGTGTACGTATGTGTGTTATGTTTTGTTGTTTAAAAAAAATAAAAATATTTGTCAAAAAAAAAAAGAAATGTTGGTTTCAAACATTGTGTTCAGTCATGGTTGCTTAACAGATTATAGTCAAAAGCAAACAAATTATGTCATAATGTGAATTCAGCCAGAATGCAGTGTGCAGACACTTCTAAGGAGTGATGCACAGAATCTATTGCTTAGAATTAGTGGAGCTCTGCGTATATTCTGCCAGATATTTTTCAGAAACTCAGTTTAAGAAACCAATAATAATAGCTGTAGGACAATTTGGTAACATTTCATTCATGTAATATTGTACACAACTTTATTCTTTCCCCTCCCCCCACTGCCAAACAACTCATTATCATTCTTTATGTGGGGACCGTCAGTTCTCTTAGGGAAGCCAACACACTCCTATGGAATGACTGGGATTGATTACATCAGGAAGCAATATCCTGTGCAGCCTCAGGAACATTGTCATGCATCTAACCTTGTTTTAACTCATAGGATGCCTACTCCAATTAATTTCTGATAATAACAGTGGCATTTGCCCTATATAGAATTGTTAGGTCAAAATTGCAAAAAGAAAATATGAAACAAAATGATATTCACAAGAAATTATCCCAATATGGGATATAAAAGAGATCATCTGTCCTGCAAAATTTAGCTTTGATAAAGTAAATTAGCATTTCTTTATATTAAAATAGAATATTTTAAATCATAAGGGCAAGTATATTCCAAAGTACAATACTTTAAGGGACACTCATAATTTAAATGCAGTATTTGTTAGCAAATGCCCACCTTAAATTATGCAATAATTAGATAGTATAGAATATTGATGCATTATGTAATTAAATCAATAATTTCCCTACTGTTAACCATTCAGAAAGGTGCAGAAAAGAAAAATTAGCTAAAGTTAAAGCAAGCAAATATTAAGTACGATCTCAGTTAAAATGTCAGTATAAAGTTAACAAACATTTTAAGAAGAAAATAATCTAACATTTCAAGTAGACAAGAAAATTTAAGTTTTAGCTACACATATTTTTGGAACTTAGTAAGAAAAATGGTAAATCCATCCATAATTTTGCTTATATTATATTTTGCTTATATTAAAAAAACAAAATAACTGATTTTAAGAATCCATATTATCTTGTCTTGGTTGGGAAACGGACCACCATATTAGAAATTTTCTAATGTTCAGTTTTTAATTCAATTCCTTATATAAGAGTCCTGTTCATGTGTAGTTTATTACTACAAATTCATTCCAGTCGGCTAGCTCTCTGTTACATTATTTACTTGTGTGTGTGTGGTGTGTGTAGCCTTAGATAAAATATTGCAAAATTAAGTTTCTTCCATAGGTGCCAATCTAAATAATTGATGTTTAAAGTTTCTTAATGCAGTTTTATTTTCATAATGTAATGAAGTCATGATTTTGCATCAGCATTTAAATGGGGAGTAAAAAAATGGAGGGAACAGAAACATGCATATTCATTTTCAGAACTGAATTGATGAACTTAGGACTCAACACCAGGGAAAGAGAACTCACAGAAAGTTATGCAGGGAATCTGCTCATTGGGTCTTTGAATTTTAAGGAAGAAAAACATCAAAGGAAGTCACATTTTATTGGGTAGGGCAAGAACCTGGAAATTAGTAATGTTCTGACTCATGCATCATCTCAGCCTTATGGTATACTGTACATAGGTTTTTTCTTGGTTTCATTTTCTCCACCTACTAAAAGAGAAATAATGCAGACGGAAGATGAATTATGAAGCACCATCATAGCATATTATGGAAGGGAAATTAAATGCAACAGGGTTAATTGATCTCACCTAGAACAGGACTCAAGTGTCCTCAGATGACATAACAGGATGTGTGAGTAATTGCAGGTCCAACCAGATGAACAAGATAGCTATTGTTAAACACATTCTGAGGGAAAAATATATAGATCAAATTTAACTCTCTAGATTTAAAGAAACTAGAATAGTCCTGCCCCTTTACTCTGATCTTTAGCTTCTCTACCTTTTTTCTTTCTCCACTTAATGAGATGAGGGGGGTCAAGTGGTCCTCTTCCCTTTCCTGCTTTATAAAATCTCTTCCACATATAACTACAAATACAGGAAAAGATATAAATTTGCTTACATCTGAATAAGCTGATTAAAATCGGTAGACAAACAGAGCCAATTGCAACTGGGGGGGGGAGGGAGAGTAAACTATTAGGATAGAAACAAAACTTAAAGTGGAGTACTTATAGTTCCTTTAATTATAGCTTCTTTATACTACTGAATTTCTACTTTTCACTTTTATACATTCTTGCTTTTTTCTATGAAAAATACTATCAGGTTTAATATTTATAATGCTGCCAGAGTAGACAAGATGTTTATGAAATATCCTTCTGCATCTTAAGCCTATCTTTTGGAGTGTTGGCTATTCCTGCCAGCTTGGTGTCATCTGCAAATTTGATGAGTTCCCCATCTATCCCCTCATCCAAACTTTAATTATGTAAGCTGATATTCATGCACAGGCTTCAGTAGTTAACTTTGACATTCAACCCAAATGTCAAAAAATAAATATCAAGATACAGTCTGACAGATTTGAACATTGGGCGCTATCTAACAAAATGAAATCCAATGGTGAAAAAGTAAGGTTCTACATTTAGGCAAGAAAAACCAAATGCACAGGTATAATGTATGTGGTACCTTGCTTAATAGTAGTAACTGTGAGAGGGATCTCGGAGTCTTAGTGGGCAATCCCTTAACTATGAGCCAGGAGTGTGCTGCAGCTGCCAAAAAAGCCAACACAGTGCTAGGCTGCATTAACAGAAGGATAGAATCAAGATCACATGAGGTGTTAATAATACCACTTTACAATGCCTTGGTAAGGCCACACTTGGAATACTGCATCCAATTTTGGTCACCACAATGTAAAAAAGATGTTGAGATTCTAGTAAGAGTACAAAGATGATTAGGGGACTGGAGGCTAAAACATATAAGGAACGATTGCTGGAATTGGGTATATCTAGTTTAATGAAGAGAAGGACTAGGGGTGACATGATAGCAGTGTTCCAATGTCTCAGGAGCTGCCACAAATAAGAGGGAATCAAGCTATTCTCCAAAGCACCTGAAGGCAGGACAAGAAGCAATGGATGGAAACTAACCAAAGAGAAGCAACTTAGAACTAAGGAGAAACTTCCTGACAGTTAAGACAATTAACCAGTGGAAAAACCTGCCTCCAGAAGCGGTGAATGCTCCAACACTGAAAGTTTTTAAGAGACTTGACATCCATTTGTCTGAAATGGTATAGGGTTTCCTGTCTGAGCAGGGAGTTGGACTAGATGACCTCCAAGGTCCCTTCCAACTTTTATTATTATTATTATTATTATTATTATTATTATTATTATTATTATTATTATTATTGTTGTTGTTGTTGTTGTTGTTGTTGTTGTTGTTGTTGTTGTTGTTATATCTGTATCATCA